GCCATACTCTGTCGAAAGCTTTGCTTACACCTAAGAAGGCAGCTCCTGTGAATTGTTTATCATTAAATCCAGCTGCTATGTACTCTATTAATCTGAGTACTTGTAGCTCACTGGAGTGTACTGATCTAAAACCGAATTGGGCTTCGGGTATTATGTCAAGCATGTCTGTTTCAGCTTGGATTGTACTGTCTTTTCCGGGCTTTGGTAACATTATGACATGGGCTCTTTCCATCTGTTTGGGAATTTCTTGAATCTTAGCATCGCATTGATTATGTTTGTTAAATATACTATGGCTCTCGCTGGTACGTATTTTAGAGCCCTGTTCGTTATTTGATCGGGACCAGGTGCCTTTTTCGGCGAGCTGTTTTTAATTAGCTCATTTAATTCCTCCGGTGATGTAGAAGGGATGATTTCATTTGGGTTTTCGGGTCTTTCTCTTTGTCTTTCGACTTCTTCTATGAAGTCGATGTCCTCGACTGAGTATTAATTTAATGTACCTCGCTCGAGAGGTACTCAGAGAGGTCTTTTGCTTTTTCGACTAAGACTATTCCGTTTTATTCATGCACCCATGGACAACCACACCAATATCTCTGCTATTTATAGAGCAACCGTAACAAATCTCTAGTATCTAGTCAACCAATTATAAACAGCATACAGAGTGTCATTCATTAGCCCATGTCTATTCTTGTGTCATTGATGAGAACCTGTGAGGTGGTTCTGTATAACTTTCAATAACATGGCAATGTTGTATAAAAATGAAAGGTCAAATTGATATTTAATAGATGCCGTACAACAAATTGGATAGAAAAAAATCAATGAATATCTTTTGTTTTTCAAATAACTTATACTTATGTTAAGCTTTCAACATAATAGTCGTCCAGTTATACCAAACCTTCGTCTGTGATTTCCTTAAGGTTAAAAAAAATAATACACAAATTTCTGGCCATATGAACTTACTTATATTTTCAATAGCATTTAGCATTAATAACTTAAAAACTAATGTAATATCATACTAAATTGTCTAATTAATTGGTACTTTTAAGATACGCTCAGATGCTAAATTGTCAGCAACGCCGCACAGTTTGGCTTACCGACCCGCATGTTCCACTGAAAGTTTACAAAAATATTTCAAAAAAGCGGTGCCTAGTATTTAATACAAGGACAAATAGCTACTTTTAATGGAACTACAGGGCGTATTTTACAGCAGAGTTGCCAACTGACACCAGGACTCCAGGACAAGCGTTTAAATACACACTCATACAACATTCATCCGCGATTTTTTTTATTATTATTGATACATATTCGCTAGATCGTCCTTAAGTCCTTACGATGTCCCGCATCGACTTAAAATTAGTAGAAAAACTTATTAGATCCTACTCATGCTTTCTTAGGTAATCTGTAATTATTGTGTTTAGTTTACTGAACTACAAAGAACATTTATATGATAACTGTGCAATAATTTAAATAAACAGACACCTATACATTAGTTTTTATGATGTTCAAGGGAATTAATTGTATAAAATTGGAGGATGTCCGCCATTTTGTAAAGTTATTTCAAAAAGGAATCATGTAGCAAGTAATACCTTATGTTATGCGACTTGTGTGAGTTATGTACTAGTGGTTTAAACTGTTGAATAAAATTACAGTATTCAACGTTTATGGAAAAAGCCCAAGCGGCTCGATTTATATTATAACAGTTAAACCAAACACTCATCTTCTTTCCTCCATTATTTTTAATGATATTCGATTGCAGTTAGTGTCATTCTCTTTCGTAAAAAGTATAAGTTTTTAATTGTACACTAATTTATTAGTGACTCGTTTCCTTTAATTATCTTTTTATTTTACCAATAATTCATCCAAATATATATTTTTGTTTTGTTTTGATCCTTTTTGTCGCTGTTTTTTTACTAGACTTAGTGATGACTTGAATATTAGCTTATAGATTTTTTGCTACAACTTGTTTCATATAATTTTTTAATATTATATGGTCTGTAGAGGTCTGTTAATGCAAATGTATATAAAGAGATGCCTGAGAAATAAAAATATAAGATATAGCATGGAAAATTATTCACTATAAAAGGACAACACCTACAATTAACAAGCAGATCAACTTTCGACTTTTTTCTAATGGACTTTTGTCCGTTAAAAACATCCTACATTGAGTAAAAAAGCAAAAAAATGGAAAGGATTTATATACTAAAAATAGAGACGAATTTTGAGAAGTAAACGGTTGAAAAAACTTGCGAGATTGGTATGGTGTTGATACAAGCATGCTATTTAGGGTGTCAGTGAATACAATTAAGATAGATATGATGGTAACCAATGTTCTGAAAGGATATGGTACATCAAGAAGAAGAATGCCAAAGGAAAATATGATAATATAAATTATGAAGAAAAGACCACAGAACGGTTTCTCTTATTACTTTTTAAAAAAGAGAGTTTTAAAAATAAAATCGCACTTTAAAATTAGTGGCATAGTTAAGAATGAGCATGAGTAGGTTCTAATATAAATCAAAGCTTTCAACTTAAGTAAAATGAAGAAACCGAATTACAGCTTGTAAAAATTATTGTTAATGCGTTATTTCATATATAAAACAATATAAAAATACGTCAATAGTAATTTAGGGAGTATGATGTGTTCATCATGTTTATGATAAGTTTCTTATACTTAGTCCAAAAGCTGTAGCTATCCAAAAAAAAATGAAGTATAAATTTGAAAAATCTTTCGGTTTATGTTAACTTAGGTATAGGAAATTTTTACTTAAACGTATTTTTTAACTCCATTCTAAGGAGTATTTTTTATGAATAACGTAGATTAACAATTGAGCAAAATACGAACAAGACTTTTTATTTTTGTAACATTATATTTGCCACGTCGTACGAGGTCTGACTATTAAATAAGGAGATTGCGCGCGCAGAAGGCGTCCTAGAGGGGAAGAGTGGGAAACGAATACAGCATTGGATAGCTGGAAGTGTCCACTCTTTCAGTACGAAAACACGTATTTGTCGCTGTAGTAGTATTTCTTCTGTAGAGGTTAGAAAATAACGTGTTTTTTTCCAACCAACGTCCAGGTTGACCTGTTTCTGTTTCAACTCCGCAAACACTGATCAAAATAAATGTAGTTGTACGCGGAGATCGTCGGGTGAGCATTCGGATAATTACTGAGACTATAAACACCGATAAAGAAACTGTCAAAAAATTTTACATGACGAATTGAACATGAAGAAAGTCTGTGCGAAGTTGGTCCCAAAAATTTTTACCTCTGACCAAAAGCTCGTCCGTCAACAGATCTGCTCAGATTCTCTTGAGAGATTACATGAAGAGCTTAAATTATTGGAAAACATCATCACTTGTGATGAAACTTGGATATTCAAATATGATGTTAAAACTAAGCGACAATCCATTCACTAAAAAACTTCTGCATAGTCAATGCACATGCCCATAACGCGATGTCTGTGAAGCGTTATTTAGCCGCTAGAGTCATTCATGTACTCGAACACCCACTGCATTTGCCTGATTTAGCACCCTGTGACATTTTCTTGTTTCCGAAGAACAAATCTGCCTTAAAAGGCAGAGGTGAAGCAAAAAAACGGCAGAGCTCCTAAAAGCTCTAACAAAAGAAGGATTCCAGCATTGCTTTGACCAATGGCAAAAACGAATGGAATGTGGCGAGGGAAGGGAAATTTGTTAAAGGAAAGCATTCGATTGTAGAATAATTTTTAAAATAAAACTCTTTTTCATAAGCAGTCTCGTTATTTAATAGCCAGACCTTGTATGTCAATAAATAATTGAAAATGTAAAAACGTCGCATTTTGAAATCTTTTTTTTTTTAATTGGACAAACTGTTTCCGAGATATTCGGTGACGTTTTATGATGTTTTCATTGTGATAGTGACGTAACGCAAAATATATGATATTCTAAGTTACTTTTCACGTCAAATGTCACGTTTTACTTCACGTGTTATTTCCAAACGTCACGTTTTATGGATTATGTCAAAACGTTATTCAAATCCGTAAAACCGGTCTTTAACTCTATATAGAGTGTCTTCCAGCAGTTAAGTCTCATTTATCCCTTTGTATTTTAAATTTTTAGGGTATATTTATTCATAATCTAGTAATAATAAAGAAGTATTATCTGAAATGGCATTGCTTACAGCTCTCAGACTATTCAACGAGTTAGTAACGTTATTTTTAGAAACAAAACCTAAACCAGAAGACTAAAAGCGGATTTTGCAAAAATATAATACAGTAAACTTAAAGCAAATAACGTCACTAAAACTAAATTTGTATTATCGACGTGTATATGAGCTTGAGTTTATAGAAATTAGTAATATATTGCTATGTTTCTTATAAAAATATAAGGCTTAATAATATCGTTATACGATTTGTCGTTGCTATGAGAATGTCATAAAACTAGATTCAAAAAGGTCATACATTACACTTATCGACTTTTAAAAGTACAATAGAACAAAAGATCATTATTAAGCTAGGAGTTTCTGGAAAATATTGCAGTAAATGTGACAACTACGCACACTGTTCGTTTCATAAAACAATAAAATACTAAGTTGCCTATCTTTAGGGGTATGGTGTTTGCTTAGCAGTCTTAGTGTGACCTTTTTGAAAAATATAATGCTGAATCTGTTGAGTATATGGGTAAAGTCAAGTTATTTCAAACTGCTTGAAGTAGCTCCAATACAAGCAGGCATATTCACTGCTCTACAGTATATAAAAGAATAAAAAGGCAGTTTTTTAGTATGTATTGAAAAATATAGCAAAACTGCGATATTTTATACAAAACTGCAAATCGAAAATAACTACGTCTTGAGCAATAAGGTTTAGAGCAAACGTTTTATATACTATAGAGCAAAAAAGCATGATTTTCTTATAGTTATCGAACCACTTGCTTAAATTGGGTACATTGTCAGTTTGAAGTGTCCAGGAAAAAGTATTTTCTTCCGTAGAGACACAAATAAATGAAACATAACTACTATTGCGTTTATCTAGAACCTACGGGAGTGAGTATATCCGTTGTTTTCGTATAACTTGCAAAGACTATCGGTACGACTGCTTCCTAACTGTGATGGTATACTGACGCTGACGGACATATTATCGAGCTTGTTCATGAACTTCCTTCTTTGCCAGATGAACGTCCACGCAGCGATAACAGCCAGCTGGGCTGATAAAAAGATGGTAGCTGCTACAATGAGACCGGCGACGTTGATGCAGAATCCCGCTTCGTTGGGGATGTAAATGGCTTCGTTTCCGATACTGTTAGACTTGTTCATACCTTTCTCGAAGCCGAATTTGTCTGTGATCTGGATGGACTGGACGAGCAGCATATCCTCGTGGGCGGAGTTGGTAGAACGACGCCTCCTGCGCTTGCCGTATGAAACTACAGAGCGGAGTTCACCGTTTGGTTCTTCTTCATCGCATTGAACTGGTTCGCAGGTGGGCATGCATGGAGTTACCAATGCTCTGAATTGTACTACCTCGGATGAGGGGAATTTGAACGCGTCAAAGTGGGAAAGTAGGATCTAAAATGAATAAAGCACAACAGTTAATTCACAATACAAAATTTCAGGGGATTTTAAGGTATAACTCAAAAAATAAACAATATTTTTTGTCGAAAGAAATAACAGAAGAGAAAAGTGTGGTAAAACTAGATAATCATGAGGTTTAGATGTAACTAAATTAGTATCAAGTTTATAAGGTTAATACGAATAAAGGAGGATTCAAAAAAGTTTTGCTATGATGTTTTTGTAAATGTTATAGGACAGAAAGACTTCTAAAATTCCTTTTTAAAGAATATTGGTAAAAGTTGATATTGGCGCCCATTATTGCAATCTGCACTTTGCACACTGCTGCTCTAAAAAGATTTGTGGTTGTTGTGTTGAACCACGTTCGTAGATTTTTCAGCCAGGAAATCCTTCGCCTTCCTGGTCCCCGTTTTCCGTCTACTTTTCCCTGCAAGATTAGTTGCAGCAGTCCATATCTTTCGCTGTTCCTCATGATGTGATCGAGGTATTCGATTTTGGCTGTTTTTATTGTGGTTAACAGCTCTTTTTCTTTTTTCATTCTCAACAGAACACCCTCATTAGTAACGTGGTCGGTATACGACATCTTCAGGATGCGACGATGAAGCCACATTTCAAAAGCCTCAATTTTCTTGCATGTGGCGTCTGTGAGAGTCCATGACTCAACTCCGTACAACAGTATAGGAAAGATGTAACATCGTCGTAAACTGATTTTTATGGGCATTGATAAATCATGGCATTTGAATAACTTAGCCATTTTTTGAAATGCAGATCTTGCTTTCTCTATTCTACATTTAATTTCTATGGAATGGTCCCAATTTTCATTGACGTTCGTACCAAGGTAGATGTATGTTTTTACTCTTTCTATTTGTTGACCGTTTATACTGATTTGTCCAAATTGCTGTTCCTTCTTAGAGATCATCATGCATTTTGTTTTCTTAATGTTTAGTGAAAGTCCGTATCTCTGATGCATTTGGTCCAGTGTTCTTCTATACCTAAATTTTCATCGATTCTTGTCAGCTCTTCATTTAGAATTTTCCTGTAGTTGTTCCTAGCGTCTTCAGATTTTAGCACATCAGTATTATATTTCGTAGATTTTGTGATTAAAATTCTTACAGGGAATAAATTTCACAATTGGGGCAAGTCTTGCTCAAGTGTGAAATTTATCTTACAAAATTTTATTTTACAGAAAATCACTTGTTTCTTTTTGAAAAAGGTTTTTCTCTTACTTTCTAGTCAAAGCTATTAAAACATTAAGACCAGCATTATACAATTGACAGCCAACGTGGAACACGACAAATAAAAGAAGGTGAAGATGACAAGTGAAAGAAGAATTGAATTGAAAATCAAAAACAGAGTTTTTAATTGTAAGAAAATTTGGTCACCAACTATTTTTAGAAGAAAATTAGTAAAACAAATGATTAACAAATAAACGAAGAGAATTACGAATACAATAATTACTTAAATAGATAACATGTTTATAACGTTATACCGTGGATAATACACAAAAATTACATGCTGATTAGTATAAAATCAAACTTACTTTTCCAGTAAGAGCAGATTTGTAGATAGGTCCCATGATGAAGTGGTCGGTAGGGCAACCATCGGAGTCGATCAAAATGATCTCGCTTGAATCTACGCCGTCCATAGCTACCAATTCTCTGACGAAGATTTCGTAAGGGCTGTTTTTGTCCATGATTTCGAATTTAAGAGCCAATGGGTCTCCAACTTCGGCGGATTGCATGATGTCTTCTCCATTGCGGTCTGTGATCTTCATGGCAACGTTGGGGGAGTCTACCGTTACTTCTTCTGATAGAGCTGCAATTCAAAATAAAAAAGTTTAGACACAATGTTCATATGTTTATGAAATTTCTTATTTTATTTCAAATATTGACTTTAAAAAACGGGAATCAAATCAATAGCCTAACAGAATATATCACCAAGGGCTTCAATGAGCAGATGTACACAGCAACTGCCTTTCTCGATGTCAGTAAAGCCTTTCACATAGTCTGGCACGAAGGATTGATATACAAAATGCACAATAAAGGGTACACCGAGGCGATAATATGCCTTCTTGAATCATACCTAACAAACCTAAGATTCAGAGTTCGAATAGGGACCACCCTGTCGAAAGTCGGAATTCTGGAGGAGGTGTGCCGCAGGGAGCGGTGCTTTTGCCGTACCTGTACACTATATACACATCCGACACACCAACCGACCCGAGATCACTGTTAAGTCTGTATGCTGACGACACTGCAATAGCAGCCAGTAGTGGGAACCAGGATATCGCCAGAAATAATCTACAAAATGCTCTTAATCGAATGCATGAATGGTGCATTAAATGGAAGATAGCTCTCAACCCCGACAAAACACAGGCCGTTATGTTCCAGCATATGATGGGTAGAGCGAATGCCAAACTTACAATGGCAAATACTCAAATAGAGTGAAGCCGTGAAGCTAAATATCTTGGTGCAACCCTTGACAAAAAGTTCAAGTTCACAGAACATGTGAACCAAACGGTCTACAAAGACACCAAGTAGCCAACTCTCCTCGCTAATAGGCAGGAGAAGCAAATTAAGATTTACGACGAAACTCAGAATGGCCAACAGCGTAATCCTGTCCACTTTTTCATACGCTTCTGTGGCATAGGGACACATAACAGCCAACAAATACAATATTATAATATCAGCAAGAAAAAATCCAAATGTATGACAATATCTAAATACTCACTATGATGTAAAATCGAAATTGATGGGAAAATTACATTGCAGGAAGCAAGGTTTAGATATTTGGGAATGGATATAACTAGTTACAGTGAAGAAGAAGGACGACAACAAAGCTTAAATGCAAGTAAAGCAGCAGGATCTCTTAATGACACGATCTGGAAGAAGAAACACCTAAGAAGATACAAAAATAAGAATCTATAAAGCAGCAATTACAAAACGGAAACAGGAGTGCAAGGAACACATTAGTAGAATGGCAGAGAACAGGATAGTACGAAGCACGAGATAAGTCACCAAATAGACGAAGAAGTATTGGTAGACCAAGAAAAAGATGGTGTGATAATTTAAACAATTTAGGAGGCTAATATTAACGAAGAAACAGACTTTAACGTCTACATACAAGAAGAAAGAAGAAGAGGAAGGAATAATTAATGTTATATTCTGCGATATTTTATGTTAAGCCGCTGTACGTAGCTAGTTACTTCAACCCGAAAATAAATATTCTAATACCATATTATAGTCATGTAGGCCTTTCCATTTCCTGTTACCTAAAACATAGATAATATTCTACTATCCACCGATATGTAAAGTTCTTCGGACGTAAAAAATATTTCACATATTCCTACTTAGGATTTCAGTTATTTCATCTGCTTTATTTCTTCTACTTGTTTGCTATTAGACTTCAATCGATATGAAGAACAATGAAAATTCAGATTGATCCTTCGCAGAAATTGGATCTGAAAAGGTAGTAAATCGGCAGCTTACATTTCTGTTTAAAATCATTACAGCGATATATATTACTGCTATTATTTAATTTGTAATGTATAATTTTTTGTTTGTGACATTGTATAATTGTTGGATAGGCCAAAATTTATGAAATGCCCTTGAAGATGCTCTAGGAAGCGAAAGTACTTGGGAAAGATTTAATTAATAAAACTGTGTTCGATATCTGCTTTTCATTTGATCAAAGTTCATTTATTCGAGCATTCAACCTTATATCAAAATACTGTTTTTGTATACATATTTTCTTGGAGACAAGTGCACAGTTACCCAATGTTTTATTTGCTGTATATTTTGTAAGTCTAGTAATCAATGACCATTAACTAAAGCATTCAACGCCATATACGCCTATCACCACTGTCATGAATTATAGACCTAGACTCGAATTCGTTCCATATCATCTACTGAATACTATCATTACATTATTACCGTCTCTAATCAACTCATATCGAATACCTGCGTGGTAGATGTCAATTCCATTCGGATTAAAGAGAGCGCGTCGAAAAGAACGTCCTCCAAGGTACCTGGGCGTGTGTTGTGACATCACAACGGGTGGGTAGTGCTCATATAATCACTAAATCAAAATGGTTTAGTACGTTCTGACAGATCCGTAAAGCTGAACGCGTGTAAGGGATCGAGAACGAAATTTCTGAATGGGAAACAAGAATGTTGTCGACAGTAACGGTTGATATATATACGCGGAAATGCCAGAATCTATTAAACGTAGTCTTATGTGTACAATAACTCTCGTTGTTATTATTTAATATGTAATATGTTATGTAGTTACCGGTTTGGTATGTTATATAGAAATTGTTTATTTCCGATGCAGCGTGCTTAGTTGCTTTATGGGGTGGTCTGAGAGATTTATCTCTAGAATGTTGTTAATCTTTTTGCATTCAAATGAGCTATGGACGTTTAGCGAATTAGGAATGTGGGCATGTAACGATATGGTCTAATAACTGTAATATACGACAAATGACCTCAAGATTAAATTATAAAAAACTGTAACATTTTGTTTTAATAAATTAAAATAGAGTAAGGACTCTTTTTATGCGATTTTAAAGTTGTGCGGCTCCAAAAGTTTATCCAAAAATTTCTATTTTAATTAAGTATTGACTATTCACATACAGATTTCAGTAAAGTGAGCATTTACAATTCGGGGATTCCCTTGTTACATGATGTCCCTATTACATTATTGCGAGCTTCGGATTGAAAGGTATAATCTGTTTTAAAACCATTTTTCTCTTAGGGTGCTTTGTTTTATAATAAGTTGTTTAAAATGTGGCTGATTCCAAGTTTCAGTATAATAAGAAGCACGGTTTTGGTATTGAAACTCTTCAAGTGAGTGTCATAAAGTTTTATTTTTCTTTAGAAGAGGTTTTTGTCATCTCAATATCGTAAGTCTAAGCTTTTTTTTTAAGATTTTATTTTGCTCTAATAGAAAAAAATATTAAAGACAATAAATTTTGTTGGAAACCAAAATTGCAATTTTAGATCGCTTAGGAAAAAAGAGAGCATCTACAGCAATTGGAAAACATTTGAATTTAGACGAATAAACTGTAAGAGCAATTAAGAAGAATAAAGATGCTATAAGAAAAACTATAACTTCTATTACAAAATTAAGTGTCAACTTTTCATCTTACTTAAGGGATGTATTATTAGAAAGAACAGAAAAAACCTGTGCAATTTGAATTGAGGAACTAATTTAAAAAATAATTCCTTTAAGTGGTTATTTAATCCAGGAAAAAAACTCTTCAGTTTAATAAGCTAATGAAACAGTCAGAGCCACCAAATTTCACTTCTTAAGCTGGTAAAAAATTTTCAGCTAGCAAAGTGTGCTACAGCAGATGAAGCAGCAGCAAAAATACTTCAACAGGAGCTAGCGAAAATGATTGAAGATGGGGACTATTGCGCCAATCAAGTATTTAACGCTGATGAAACGGGACTTGAAAAACGGGTATTGAAAAAAAAATGAATAACCGTACTTTCATTGCAAAGGATGATAAAACTGCAATATCTCTCCAATTATTTGTCACACATGGCATGTTCTATATGCGAAATAAGGTGTTTGTGAAACTAAAGGAACATAAAATAATATAAATATGAAAATAAATACTTAGGAACATGGATAACATCAGATGTAGACAAAACCAAAGAAATTAAGACACGTATTGAAATAACACGTACATCATTCATTAAACTTAAAAATCAATCAAAAATCTGATTTTACTAAACAGTAAAATTTTACACAACATTCCCAATAAAAACTTTAGACTCATGAATCTCTTGGAAGATCTTGAGATATCCAAAGAAATGAAACTAAACCCTGATTGTTGCTTAAACACACAAATCAACCTCAATTGCAATAATAAACCTCTTTTTAAATTATTATGGGAGACTTTGGAGGAAGAAGGGTGACCTCATGCAATCTTATTATATTTTTTCATAATTTTATATTTTTAAACAAAATTTTAAACTTTATTAGAAATTTACAACATTTTGTAATTCATTTGACAGTTATTCTTAATTGAAACATGAAATAAATATATTCTTAAAAAAATTTTTTATGCAAATTTCTTACAAATTTCCATCAAGAGATGCAATCCTCAATACACTTAAGTATCAGATAATGTAACATTAATACCATGTTTCTTCTTTATATTATTGTTGAACAATTTGAGCCCTTGTTTCTTAAGGATGACTGTCAGATTGAACATACATTGACCTTGAGCAATGATTTGAGTGAATTTACAAACTAATGTCATTCTGTATGATGTGATGAACACATAAGATTTAATTTAAAAACTTAACAACTTAATTTTTAGAAAGTCTTTGATGACTATTACTAATTCCAAACTATTAAATAATTTTGTAAGAATTTAAAAACAATCTCTATTTCCTATATATGACATTTGTCAACTGTCACTTTTGAAAAATCTTTTAAAAGGACCGACATTTGATTTCATTAGTTCTATGGACCGCAGGAGTGTGACGTCACATTGTCATTATTACTTTCCAAACAAACGTTGAAATGTCAAATCTCAAGACTTTTTAATTCCTATAAAGTTAACATTTTGCTTCCTCTGCTGGTTTTTTTTGTAAGTATAGTGTTTTTACGATAATACCGTCATAATTCAGAGTTCTATTTCTATGAAATATGGTTTAAAAGTTTAATTAAAGAAATTTTAACCTTACTTTATTGATTACTTTCATTTTATTCCTATTAGCATAAAACAATGTGCTTTATTATTTACACAACCTTGTAAAATTGTTGTAGTAAACTATTAGAATACTTAAATATTGCAAAAAGCGGAAAGATTCTATAAAATAAATGAAAAAAATAACGAAAAATACAAATTATCCACACTAAACAACGTTTGTTTGGAAAGTGAAACTGGCAGATGTCAATCAAATCTACGTCATCACTCCTGTGGTCCATTCTGTCTACCTCCTCACATCAATCAATAGTCGGGTTCTTAAACCCGTACCATGACAAAAATTTTTTCAATTTTTTAATGTGTCTGTGAAGTCCAGTGTCGGTTTTTTATATGTTTTTTAAGAATTTTAACAACTAAAATCATTATTTCGACATATAAGGAAATGAGATCTCTCCATAAATTGACGTAAGTTAAAAAATTAAAATCTTCACCAATTAGTACTTATAAGATAATTTTATTGTAGCATAGCTCCGATGATGGCTTTGTAAAGCCGAAAGCGCTCAGCTAGGAATTATTTAAAATATACACACTTCAAAAATACTTTTTTACCTTTTCTTTTGACTTAAACTTAAAAAGTTTCTTTGTTGTCAGGATATAAGGTTAGAACTACGCCTGAGAATGCTTCGATGTTACGTGTTCACTTAGTGAACACATGTGTTAGTGTTTATGGCTTGGAAGCGTGGACACTAAAACAAGTCCATCTGAATAAGTTAATCGTCTTTGAATTTGAGTGTTACAGGAGAGTCCTACGAATATCATGTATTTAAAAAATGTCAAACGTAGAAGTAACTAGAAGGATATGAAATGAGGCAAAAATAATATTAACTATTAAAAGACGAAAACTTGAGTACTTAGGACATGTGATGAGAGGGCAAAACTACGCATTGTTACAACTTATTATGCAGGGCAAAATCCGAGGAAAGCGAAATGTGGGAAGACGAAGAATATCCTGGCTTAAGAACTTAAGGGAATGGTTTGAATGCAGTAGTGCAGAACTTTTTAGAGCGGCAGTCCACAGAGTCCGCATAGGCATGATGATTTCCAACCTTTGATAGAAGATGAAACTTATAGGAGAAGAAGAAACTTAAGGGGATATTGTTCATACATTATAGATTGCTGTATCATTAAAATATTTTTCTTTTAAAAATAAATCGGGAGAATGAGTGAACTGATAATTTAAATACAAGGTGACAGCTACATAAAGATGCTTCAAGCAGTAAAAAATTATATACAGATTAAACTGCAACCTAAGTAACTAGAAAAAAAAATAAATTTGTATATTTTCCAAAATACGTATTAACCTACCTGGAGTAATATCACCATGAACACCCAAATCAACTTCATTGGTCACACTCTTATTAGTCAAGTCGTACTGGCAAGTCACAGCTAATCCCAAATCACTGCTGGTTACAATCTTGTCGTGGTGTTGGATAACGACGTCGTTGATGTACCTTCCTAAACCGTTTTTCCTCACGTTGCATTCCAGATTATCATATGGCATGTTGAGTTCGAATTCCAAGCTATTGTTGACGTCTCTGACGCATGAGTTTGGACTTCCCTTGGCATATATTTTGCCGTCGAACAATCTGCTGGTTTGGATTCTGGCGATCATGTCTCCTGATCTACAGTCGATGCTTACGTTGTAGCAGGAGCTGAGTTCGTAAGTGGCGGCTTCTGGTACTTCTAGGTAAGGATCCTGTGAAACATAAAACGATTGCTAGAAACATTGTGTTTAGTGTAGTTCATAAAAAAATCTTTTTCAGGGAAAATATGTAAAAACAGAATTTTTTTGTTATTAAAATAAATAAAACTTTTGTGTTGATGTATGATTATTATTAAAAGCTAAGTAATATGGAAATTTCTTCTTCTTCTTAGTCGTTAACCTGATGCAGGTATCGTGATATCATGGAGCTATTAGCTAAATTTACCACTGTTCCTTCACGTTTTTCTATCTTCTGCCATTCTAGCGCATTCTGACAATGGAGCGCCAATGGTGGCAACAATATGGTCCGTGTATCGTGTAGGAGATCTACCTCTATTTCTACTGCCTTCTACTTTTCCATGGATGGTAAGTTTTTCAAGACCATTTCTTTGAAGTAAATGTCCAAAATAGCTTATTATTTGTTCTGATATTTGTGTTCTTAGTCTTTTCTTTATGTTTAGCTTGTCCAGTATGTATTCATTTGTTCTTCGGGCCATCTATGGTATTCTCAGCATTCGTCTTCAGCGGTATATCTTAAATACATCTATGTTCTTTTTGTCTTTCTCAGTAAAGGTCCAGCATTCCGATGCATAAGTAAAAACTGGAAATGGATAAGAATAGGATAGGAAAAACTGGAAATATGGAAATAGGAAACATTAAATCAGAGCTCAATATACACTAATCTATTTTGAATCTCGAAAGTAAAAATCCGAAGATTTCTATTGACTTAACCAAAAATTTAGACCATGGTAAAGATGTAAGGGCTTCTATACCAGTCGTTCTGATGATTCCTGTTAATATGATATACATATAAGCTAATATACAGACTCACTATGCGTGAAATCAAATCTTAGGTGTCCTTTCTTTTAATCTACTTTGCTATGTTTTAAACTTGAAGGCAAATCCATTGTAAAACAACTTTAAATACCATTATTGTTGATTTTTTTTTCTTTGTGACCGTCAATTTAGTACTGCTCATCATACATCAATGTCCCTTATAGTAAACTCTGTAGAATAACGTACGTTTGTCTAGAATTACCAAACTATTACGACCAATGAAACGATCGAAAGCTCGGCATTCATCCAGGGCCGGATTTACGAAGTAATAGCGAATTTCTACTGCAAAGACAAGGACGGAGAACTACTAACAGAGAAGCAAAAAATTATAATGAGATGGAGAAACAATATTTCGAAGAAAATCTAAATGCAGACAACGAAAATGATTAGAACGAGACAATATATTATACGGCGGAGCTGCATATCGAAAATCCGAGTTATGAAGAACTAGTTCAGATAATAAATAAAATAAAAAACAATAAAGCACCAGGAACGGACGAAATTTCGGCAAAATTATTAAAGCAGGGAGGATCCAAACTCTGGGAAAGAATCCATTACCTAATAACATTAATATGGACGAAGGAGCAAATGCCAGAGGAATGGACAGTTGGCCTCATACAGCCAATATATAAAAAAGGAGATAAGAGGGAATGCCAGAATTATAGGCCAATTACATTGATAAATGTAATATACAAAATTCTTTCTGGTATAATCTAAAATAGATTATTAGAATATTCCAAAAATATAATTGGTGATTATCAAAATGGATTCAGACCAAATAGAGCCACTGCAGATAACATATTCATACTAAGAACGATACAAGAAAAAGCTTATGAATACGACATAGGCCTATATAATATGTATATAGACTTTAAACAAGCTTTTGATAGTGTGAAAAGAGACAGAATGCTGGAAGACCTTTGTAATCTAGGTATACCTAAGAAATACATCAGCCTCATAAAAAGACATTGCAGGGTTCAAAAGCCGCAGTCAGAGTAGATGAAGAACTGACTCCCCTGTTTAACATCAACATGGGAGTAAGACAGGGAGATGCCCTATCAACCATGCTATTCAACGTATTTCTTGAGGCAGTTATCAAAAAAAAACAATACAACCGGCCATATAAACACCAAATCAGTACAAATTACTGCACATGCAGACGATGTAGCCATCATTAGTAGGAATAAGCCACGACTAATAGAAGTGTTCAAAAAAATTGATCCTGAAGCAAGAAAAAGAGGTCTCAAAATAAACGAAGCAAAAACGAAGTATATGACAGTCAAAAGAATAACTGACAATAAAAATAATATCACAATAGACAACTATACTATCGAACGAGTGGATGCCTTTACATATCTCGGCACAGAAATCAATCAGAAGAACTCCGTAAGTAGCGAAATTAATGCACGTATTTCCAGCGGGAATCGTACATTACTATGCTAATAAAAGATTGATGACATCGAAATTATTAACAAAAGAACCAAAATGACTATCTACAGAACACTGATTAGACCCGTAGTAACCTATGGATGTGATACTTGGGTAATGACGAAAAAAAGATGAAGCCCAACTCAGGACATTCGAGAGAAAAATACTGAGGAAAGTATATGGCCCGGTACAAGAGGAAGATGGCACATGAAGAATTAGGAGAAACGACGAGGTTAATGAGTTAAATGAAGGTTATGACATTGTAAGATTTGTGAAAAGTCAAAGACTGTCATGGCTGGGACATGTGCAGAGACAAAACGATGCAAAAACAACAAAGAAAATGTTACAATGGAAGCCCATAGGAAGACGAACAAAAGGAAGACCCAGAACGAGATGGTTGAATGACGTGGAAGACGACCTGAAAACAATGAACATAAGACAATGGAGAAGAAGGGCACAAGAGAGATTTGAATTTAAGGACATAGCCAGACAGGCAAAGACCCATCCAGGGTTATGATGCCACAAGAAGAAGAAGCGAATTTCTACTTATTCGTAGTATTATGCAAATGTTTAACATCAACTGAGGGCATTGACACGCCTAACATTTGTACTATGATATTTGAATACCTTACCTGAATATCTGACAAAGTAGCTCTGGAGTGGTGGCTCAATCTGCAGACCATCTCACCGGTGTCACCGTAGTCGTAGGAGTGGCATCTGTAGGGGCTGTTCAAGCAGAGTTCTCTACATTCATCTACAGATCCGACGTCCTGGTACACAGAGTCGACAGTTTTTAAGATTCTGCCACTTAGTTTCTTGAATTCGCAAAGTTTAGTGGGCTCTTCGATGCAGTTATTTTCCATGTACTCGACGCCATCAGCGGGTTGGAACGCCGTACTACCTGCTACGGTTATGCGGTCCATTTTGGAGAGTTCGCAGTTACCTGATGCATTATGATAATTGGCAGACCTAAAACAAAATATTATTAATTAGAAGTCATACATATACACATTATGGATCGAGTTTTTATTTGTGTAGGTTAGGTAGTTTTTATTGCCAACAACATCATAAGAAAGAATACAACTAATGAACTTCGGATTCCACATAATAATTGCCTTCAATGATGTTATTCACAATGAGCTTTAATTCAATTTTAGTTTTTTAATTTTGTCCATATACCATCTGTCGAAAGACAAATTATTTCATCGACGATTACAACAAACTTAAAACATTGTTATTAAGTTCTAAGTGGATTCCATTCAATTTGCAATTATTACCTTTCCCACTGAAGTTGAAATGCCAATGACGGCGATACTAAAAAGGAAATTTTCGCTTTCGATACAAGCATCATCGAGTGGCAACAGTTTTAAATCAGAACAGGGCCGGGCTCAGGTGTTCAATTTTTAAATTTTATGATACAATAAGCTTTTTTACTAAACTTTTAAATTCCTGCATTATTTTCTTTCGTTCTATGGTATTAATTGGTTTGTCTCTTTAACATGCAATAATATTTTATAAGGCGTCTTTGTTTATGATCACCTAGGCTCTTTTATTCGTGCTATTTTTAATGGGTAGTTCGATTTTTTACTATCGATTCATTGTACTGACATTTTTTTACGATTTTTCTTTAATGATCTCTTCAGCGGCTTTCTTTGCATGCATTCTCCAACTGGTCTCTCATCTAGTGCAATTTTCAAATGACTGTTTTTTTTACAGTCTTCTCTTCTTCGTATTTGAAAAACGTTCCCAAATTAGACGTAGGTAGCTTTCATGACTATATACGTGTTTTTTTTTTTTTTTTAAATAGTTAGCCAGTTTGAAGAAGCTGACATATTTCAGTAACTCGTGGCTATATTGTGCATTTTATATATCTCTTTCTTATTTAACCAAACTTTTCTGCATTTGCTTTATTTTCGGTTCTTTTTCATACAAATTTAAAAAAAAAATAAAATAATTTTAAACCAATTAAGGCCTTTTTAGATATTTTAAAACAAATTCAAGATAGTTATTTGTCATAAATATAATAAAACTCACTAAAAAGACCTAATATTGATTTGTCTATGTGTGATCTACTTTAAGTACTTTCAAAGACTTTGAAGCATAAAAAAGATCGCCAATGAACTAGCAAATTCACTAATTCCCGCTGGTAATCGTGGTTGTGGTGTTCGTGGTATAAGGAGCCTATACATGAAGAAATCTAATAAATTAAATATATACTATGTTTATATGGAATTAGGCCACACCTGATTGTAAAGACAATTACATTTTGTTGACAAGGTTGACTGAAAGATGTGAGCGAGAATGTTCTGAAGCATGTATATTTGAAACTCTGATTATTTTAAGTGCGTAGAGTGTTTATGTTTCGATAACTTGTGTTTTGTTGTAATTTTCAGAGTGAAAATTCAGACATCAAATTTTTAGGTAAAATATAATAGTCATTACCATCGAGTGTGGCTCAGTCCCATATAAACAAAGTATTTAACTCATATATGCTCCAAGAAAACAGTTACAAAACCTTATTAAAGTTAATAACCTTACAACAAAATGTACAACAAATGGTAAAGAACTGTCTTATGGTTATATGGCCAAAAATCTTTGATGAGATTAGTATTAAAAATAACAAATCCGTTAAAGTTTGACTTCATATAAACTAACTAACTGAAATATCTAAAATTCTTTACAAGTTACAGACTACTCAAATATCTACATAGCTCCAATTCTTCCAACATTTTAATGGTATTTCTCCCTAATTCGCGAGAATAAAATAAACCAGAGACAAAACGAAAAAGATACCAAAATACCGATAAACGAAAGAAGTGGACTACTTTCCCAGAAGAAAGCTTAAATAAAATTAACTAAAATAATAATATTTAGAGATAAACAGAAGTCATCTTTAAAAAGGGGACTTTTACTTTCTAAATTTTCAAAAAATGGAACTTGACAATTGTTTACTAAAACATAAAAATAAGCCCGTGTATTTTATAATTAAAATGTATTAAAAATTATTATTTTGAAAATCGGAAAAAAATGACTGGATCTGGTGGTCATTTAAAAGGCAGTTGCAGTAAGGGGAACACATTGAAATAAGCATCATATTATGAAAAAAATTTAAAGATGATTAGTTTACTACAGAAAACAATTCTAAATTACTCAGTTCCTTTGCAAATTGAAGATAAAAATAAAAATTGGAGAAATAGTAACAAGTTGGTTGAAAAATATCACGAAGTTCGTATTGCTCAAGGCATGGGAGCAGCGAGACATTGACAGAGGACAGAGTTATGAAAAAAACTTTGTCCAACCATTTACAGCTTTTATTGGTAACGGCACCCAATATGCACCAGTAGTCGCTCATTAGAAGTAAGAAAATGAATAGGGGTATTTTATTCTATAAAAATACAGCAAAAATACTTTTGTATCAAAATCACATTTTTCAAAACTGCAAATTTTTTTTTCTCAAAATCTACTACAATCTCCGTTAACCAAATTGTTTTTAATACTTTATATATACGACTACTAAATATAAACATCTAAAAAGTTCAATAAAACCACCCCACATTTTTAGTACAAGGGTAAATTCAACCCAAAAAGGGTCTTAAAAATGTAAAAAAAATGAACTGTTGTATGGATTATGTATTACTTTTAAGTATGATAAATTAAATCCCGTTAGAACAATAAAACAAATTGTTACAGAAAGGCAGAAAAGTGTCCCCCAAATTAAATTGCATTTTTTGGAAGGCACCTTATGCAAACAACTAAAAATATAAAAAAAATTTTATATCTCAAAACATTCTTAATTATGAATAAAAAAATTATGACCATAATATACTAATAGTAGTTTTTTTTGTTTCATTTTTAAAAACTGTCTTTTTTTAATTTAGAAAGTAAAAGTCCCTTTAGAATAAATAAATTATGATAAATGTCACTAAACGACTTTCTTGTGTTTCCGAAAACGAAAGTGGTGCCTGATTTTTTTTTTTGGTTATTGTAACAGATATAATGGATGAGTGCCATACGTTTTTGGAGTCACCTGGAATTCTCCAAAATAGTGGTTGCTGCCTGTAATCTAGTGCCTTGAAGTTACGCAAAAGCTATTTATATCCTCAGAGTCTGCAGCTCAACTCTCTATAAAATAGACTTATTTTTTGTAGGTATTCCTTGCCAGAAATACTTTCCCAGCGACTCGGATCCAGGCTTTTTGATTTTTTTTACTAAGTATATCAGTTTTTGAATGCCTCTATTTCTGCAATGACCTGATATCCATAATATTGTAATAATGTTATGTTTAGCCTGTCTATAGAGCTATTTTCGGCATTCTCACACAAAATTTGATGCTAGAGACCCAGACACACAAAATCTTGAAGCTACATGTTGTTTAATTGAACTGTAGTTTGTTTTGACTCCGTAACAGCCTTATTTACTACTTAATTCAGTTTGTCTAAAATAAGGTATGCTTAAAGTTGATCTATTTAAGTATCAAGATAAGGTCGTTGTATAAGTGCTATCTTGAATATGTCTGGGATATCGCTGTATGACCTAGTCTGCTTGATAGGGCTTCCAGGTTTTGAGCACTTCTAGGTTGCCATATGGTCTTGGTATTCTATCTAGGTTTCTTTTTACCCTCGAGTTTTATCTGTTTTACTCTCTGAGGTCTTGTGTGGATCTTTTTTAGTCCGCGTTTCAGCACCTATACTATTACATGCTAGAAGTTATGGCTAGACTCTCGCACTGATAATTCCAAGGAGATGAGTAGAAACAAACTTGTTCAGCAGACGCCCGGATAAAAGCGATATATTGATGAAACATAAGGTTATTCTGACAGAGTTTTAAAGCTCTTTATACTGTTATTACGTTGATTAAAGCAAAGTTTTGCATTTTAGAAAAATGAAAAAGTATATTTTTAATTATGTGTATATAATAATATTACAATATTATTATTAACACTATCCATCGACGCACGAGCAAAGGCGTTAATAACTCACACAACTGACGCTCGCCATGTCAAACCCGTGGAGTTGCGCGCTAGCTCTCTTTTACTTTATCTTTGATACCTCACATTTTTACCAGCTGGCAACTCTAATTTGCTACAATTTTTTCTCTTGAAACCTTAAATCATCATATAAAAATATAAAGCTTTAATTTGATACACAAAACATGCATATGGCTAGAGTTACTTACAGTATGAACAGATAAAATAAAAAACATTTGAAAATAAATAAGTACCAAGAAAAGTGAAAATGGATTTTAAAAAATAAAGCGTTCATAAAATGAACTAAAAAATTTATTTAGAGGTATATTACAGAACAAATAAATAAACTCAATAGATGGAACCTCCTGCGGTACAGGATCAAAACTATGATGTGAAGTGATACATAAAGCGTAGTAAACTTTTTTGCTGCAATTTCATAAATGTATTCAATATTTTTTACATTTATTGTACAGTATTTACTTTAATTGATCCAATTACAACAAAATAAAAGCAAAATAAGTAAATTATGACTATAATACATATATTTGCTAGCCACGCTATTCTAATTTACGCCTGACAGCAGTTTGACAGGCCTCAATCTCACGGTCCACTTCACGCGGTTTCCATTTAGCGCCGGATCTGTCTCTTCGAATAAAATCTGCTTAGCACAAACGATATCAGACGGACAGCGTTGGGCTGCCACTGCCACTCTATTTGATGGCTTCACGTTTGGATCTCACAATCGGCTGTCTCATTGTTACAGTTGGCAGCTCCGCACATACGAAGACTTGGATGCTCCGCACAAGACAATTGCATAAAATAACAATTATTTTTATATTGACCGTAGAAGTAATTTCTCAACGTCTAGGTAACATGCCGAGTAATCTATCCACTACATCACGACACGGACTGCACCAGAAGAGCATTGGCGGGTTAGAATTGGAGCAAGTGATGAAATTAACACTAACATGATGAGCAAAACATTAGTAAAGTAATTTAATTG